TCCCCGCTTTCAATTTGTACCCATTGCCCCTTGTCCTGTCACTACAGACCCTTGTAAAAAGTCCCCCCCAGCTTCCTTGTAGCCCCTTCAGGCACTTGTAGGTGCTATAAGGTCTCCCTGGAGCCATCTCTTGTCCAGGCTGAACAAGCCCAATTCTTGCAGCCTTTCATCACAGCAGAGGTGCTCCAGCCCTCTGATCATCTTCGTGGCCTCCTCTGGACTCGCTCCAACCGGTCGATATCCTTCTGATGTTGAGGGCTCCACAGCCTCACGTAGCACTCCAGGTGGGATCTCACAAGAGCAGAGTACAGGGACAGAATCACCTCCCTCGACCTGCTGGGCCTTTGAAGGGCCTTTGCCACTGCTGCACAGTGTGCCTGGGCTTGCAGGTGGGTGTTGACTAAGCCATGGTGGGCTTCCTGGGGGAGCTGGGCCCAGGCTGGTGAGGAGGAGAGGTGGTGGCTGTCTTTCAGGGTCATCCATTGCTTCCTCTTGGGGGAATCTCAGCCATGGTGACATATTGTGCCAGTGGCTACCCCTCCAGCTCATCAAAATCCATCAAAACCTTGTCTTGGGGTGAGTTGTCTTAGACGGGCTGCAGAGCTGCTGCTGTTTGGAAGAGGGAAGGTCATTTGCCTCGTGGATTTCTCCACTTTTCTCGTCCTCCTCTGCCTGTCCTTTCTCCTCTCCCACAGTCACCCCATCTGATTCATAGCTGCCAGAAACCCTTGCTGAGCAGGAAGGGATACAGATCCCTGTGGTAGTCTCCCACCGCTGCTGGAGGCCCTTCAGCCTGGAAATAGCTTCATTGCAATTGTTGGTGACAACAGGAGGCTATTACGATTTCACATATGGCTTAGTCCCCACCCCAAGGGGAGGAACATATGTGGCTCCACACCAAGCAGAGCTTTCTATGCATCGGATGATGCTCCCCTATGGAAGGGCAGGGGGCTGACAGGCTGAGGACTAGTCTCCCTGAACTGTTCCTGTAGGCTATTTTCCTTGACAGAGAGAAAGGCTGCTCCTGCACTATGGGATGTGCTGTTGGCCTTCCCATGCAGGCCATATCCCCCAGACATGGCCCCATCCTGGGTACCCTTCTGCCAGAGTTGCTCCCCTGGTGCCCCTGCCTGTAGGCACTGGGACAGTCCTCCCAGCACAGTCTCACTAATGCTGAGCAGAGGAGAGGGCTTACCTCCCTCAAACTGCTGGCCATGCTCAAATGTCTTAGGGAGTGTTAAAATATTAACTATAAACATGCTAACTTAGCTGCTTGATATTGTTGAACTAGACTCATTCATACTCTGTTATCTGCAAAAGTGTATAGATTAACTTAATGTAATGTTTGATTATTCAGTTTTATTAAAAAGGGTCATATGCTCGATTTGGACTTTATGTTGGTTTCAAGAAACAACCACATAAAAAAGATGAGGATTTTATCCTTTTTTTGTTCTTTGAAACCAAACCTTTCTGGTAAGAAGTTTGTTTCCTTCAGTTTTTCTTGCATCCTGCTTTCCCTTTGACTTTAGATATTAAGCAGGATTTTTTTTCTATCTTCAAATCCTATTTTAGGCTTGAACAAAATCAGCTGTTGTCTATGTGGCAGCTGAGAAACAGCTGTCTCTCTGCCTGTGTTAGCACTTACATGCAGTTGACTTGCAGTGTGTGAATGACTGGACCAAGCACACCAGTTATGTGAATTGAGAATGAAATAAGAATTGTTTTCAGTGTTCATTATCCTCTGTTCAGTGTTCCTGGGGATCCTGAAGCAGCCTAAAAATCTGAAGCATTCCTACAAGAGGAAAAGGAAAGCTGAAGGGGCCACGTGTTTCCATAGATATTAGCATTCTCCAGTTTCCCCCAGTTCTAGTTGTGGTTTGAATGTACTGCATGAAGACTATTAGCTCAGTCTACCCTCCATCTGAGGTAAACGTGTACTCTGAGTGTTCCTGTACACAAGCAGTTCTTTTCAAGTGCTAAACCTGAATCTGTGTTGTAGGTAGCTTTGTCTCCAGTCTTGCACCAGTCCCCATGTCCTGGACAGACCTTGGACCTGTGTTACAGTCATGTCCCTTGTTGTTCTTGCCTGGGTTTCTTGAATGGACACTGGACCTGCTTCCTACCTCACCTTGTGTGACAAATCACTGGAAGGCTGAAGGATCTGATTGCTCTCACCATCCTGGCCCTCCTTAGGTATTGCAAATCTGCATTCTGGGGAGTTAGGGGATGGCCTTGCCTGTGCTGTTATCACCCTTGGTGCCTGACTTTAATGGAGCAGCCTCACTCTCACTGCTCCCTGACATCTGTATATATATACAGAGATATTAGTATATATATTCTATCCCCAGTTTGAATATATATATGTAAAATAAAATGGCATCCCCTGGGCACAGAAAGAGGTGAAGGGAACAGATGATGTGACTGGAAGATGTAGAGGACTTGTGGGGAGCTGGGAACATGGTGGGCAGGAGGGGCAAGGCTTGCCCTGCCATCAGGGTAGTGGCACATTCCCCTGCTCATGCAGACTTAATCTGAGATAGGTTTGGCCTGCCTCATACCATGTTCATGATATTTGTTCATGTTGAATTTTATGAGAATCTTGTAGGCTTGTTCCTTAGCCTGTCCAGGCACTTCTAACCCGTGGCTCTGCACTCAGGTTTATTGACTGAACCCCTGGTTTAGTGTCACATGTGGACTCGGTGGGGTGCGTTTCATCTCCTTTTCTGGAACACTGATAAAAATGTTGACCAGGGCAAGTCCCTGGATAGACTCCTATGGAATTCACCTTGCGACTGGTGTGTAGGTTGAACATGAATTTTTGCCCTTCCAGAAAAATTCTTCCTCCTGTATTTGTCATATAAAAGCCACCAAAAGCACACTAAGTATAGTTAGTGTGCTTGTATCTGTTTGCTGAACTCTCACAATTGTAATAGTACACCAGCCAGGGCTGTTAGTCTGTCATTTGCTTTGAAGTTCTTGCACTAGCCTTGTCAGTGGTGTTCACCTTCTTCAGAGAGGTTTCTCATTGGAAAAATACCTCATCACATGCAGGACTGTTAAGGTTTCAGTTACTGGTTTGGGAGTTTAGGAGTTTGTATACTGCCTCTTGGCATGGAATCAGAGGAAATGACAGCTGGACGAACTGGTACACAAGAGGGAAAGTTTCTGGTGGTTAAAGAAGAAATTTCTGGTTTCTTCTTTTATTTTTGGTATGACCTTAAGAGATGGTGTAATTCAAACATATCGGAAGTCTATGTTGCTGGTCTGTCCATCAGAGTTCCTCATACATCATTTATTTTTACTGCTTGTTTAAATGTTTAACAAGTTACCAATGGTAGATAGTATGCATCAAAGTAATGGTTATTCTGCTGGCATTTAAGAATTTAATCAACAAGGCTTCAATTGCACATTTTGTTTCACAATTCTCCTGATTTTCAATTTCGGTTTTTTTAGATCATTTTTGGGGACAGGGATATATATTTTAAGATTTCTGAACTTTTGTCTTCTTCTGAATGATGGTACTAGAAATACTGTGGTAGTAGCTCCTTATTTCTTATTTATGTAGGGTTTGAATTTTTGGAATATATTAAATGGAATATCGTTCATTGAAGTTGCTGTTCCTCACTCCAGTCATATCCCCAATTCTACTTTAATTAATGCATTATGAATTATGATACCTTCCTACTGCAGCACATAAGTTACATAGCAATCAGTGAAACATTCCCTATGTCAAGCTTCTATGGGAAATTATACTTGATAAGGTGAGTTTTACCTATTGATTTAAGTGTTTTCAGCCTTTCTGCCATTTTTATTCCATGCTTCTTAGAAGTTATTGAATGCACAATGATGATATTCACTTCACTAAGAAGAATGAACTGATTAAACACAAAGGACTTGTGATGAAAGAAGTTATGAGAATGGGTCAACCAAACTAGATCTAGATTTACAGTTGAACATGATGAGTCACTAAACACTGTTTTCTTTTTACAGGTTTCTCTTGGTTCTGATTTGTTTAATATTCAGTGTGCTGTCTACTATAGAGCATTATTCTGAATTTGCCACTGGAACACTTTTCTGGATGGTAAGTGATATTTTTGGAAAGACTCTAGTCAGTTTGAAAAAATCTAGGTTGCTTTGGGTGAACAAGGGAGATCATAAAATCATATAATCAGAATGTTTTGGGTTGGAAGGGACCTTAAAGACCATCCAGTTCCAACCCCCCTGCCATGGGCAGGGACACCTTGCACTAGACCAGGTTGCTCCAAGCCTCATCCAGCCTGGCCTTGGACACTTCCAGGGATGGGGCATCCACAGCTTCTCTGGGCAACCTGGGCCAGTGCCTCACCACCCTCTCCATGCAGAACTTCTTCCTGATATGTAATCTAAATTTCCCTGATTTCAATTTAAACCCATTACCCCTTGTCCTGTCACTACAGACCCTTGTGTAAAAAGTCCCCCCCAGCTTCCTTGTAGGCCAGGTACTGGAAGGTGCTGTAAGGTCTCCCCAGAGCCTTCTCTTCTCCAGGCTGAACAAGACCAACTCTCTCAGCCTTTCTTCATAGCAGAGGTGCTCCAGCCCTTGGAGCATCTTGGTGGCCTCCTTTGGAGTCGCTCCAACCAATTGATATCTTTTGTTCATTGAGGGCCCCAGAACTGGATGCAGCACTGCAGGTGGGATCTCATGAGAGCAAAGTAGAGATGGAGAATCCCCTCCCTTGCCCTGCTGGCCATGCTGCTCTGGATACAGCCCAGGATACGGTTGGCTTTCTGGGCTGCCAGTACACACAGTCGGCTCATATCCCGCTTTTTATCTACCAGTACCCCCAAGTCCTTCTCCTCGGGGCTCCTCCCCATCCGCCCTCCACCCAGCCTGTCCTTGTGCTTGGGATTGCCCGGACCCAGGTGCAGGACCTTGCCCTTGGCCTTGTTGAACTCCATGAGGTTGGCAGTGGCCCACCTCTCCAGCCTGTCCAGGTCCCTCTGGATGCCATCCCTTCCCTCCAGTGTGTTAACCGCACCACACAGCTTGGTGTCGTCAGCAAACTTCAAATACTAACATTGGATAACTGTTAGAAATCCTCATGGGAAGCATCCTACCAGGACATTTAAAATATGACCTGCTTTCATTAAAGAAAGGTCATAATTTAATGGGGGTGATTATTTTCTAGATCTGTAAACTATGAGAGTACTTGATAGATTAACAGTATTTATATATTTTCTTTTCAGAAGGTATGAAACTGTACCCTGTAGCTATTATAGTAGACAACTGGTATTCATCAGTCATATGCAGTGTGGAACAGAAGTTCTATAGGCAGGAATGTATGTTAAAAACATGTTTTCTAAGTCTAATGCTAAAAATTGGCCAACAACCATGTTCTTCAGCAGTATCTAAATCTCAGGGGTAAGTGATTTCTGTCAGACTAGTTTGCCAGTATATAGAAGAGGTAGGAAGATCATCTATTACACTTTTGTGCGTTAGTGATTTGGCTTTGAAGTTGGTGCTGTTCGCTGTTGTGGCTGTTAGCAATCCTCTAGGGTGCCAGTTTCTTCTTGAGCATACAGTAAGTTTTGTATGTCGTATTTTGCAAATGCATGAAGACATTGTGTTTCTTACCTAATATCCTTTTCTTGCTATTAGGATCTTAAGTAGCAATTTGAACAACAGATGTTCTGATATAAAAGTCTGCTCACTTGGAGGTATACAGAGATTGCTTATTGTTTTGATAGTATGCAGGAAGCAATTTTTTTATCACTGGCTTGCGTGGCTAATTTATGGACCATATGTGCCTGAACTATGTCACCAGTCCTGAGCTATTAAGACCCTTAAAAATGCAAAATCACATCCAGAAACCATCTGTAAACTGTTGCAACATAAATACAATATTTTTAAGTGTTAAATTGAAGTGGGTGGGAAATAAAAGTACAAATAATTTGCATGAGGACTCTAGACAATGTTCCTTCCTGCCCCTCTTCACCTGTAGAAAATTAAGAATGGTTATGCAGCATTCTTGATGAAAATGGAGTAAATCACTTTAAAACTGTTGCTCACAGCATCTGTATTTTAGCTACTCAAATCCTCTGATCTCAGTATGTGATAATCTCAGTATTCTTCTCGTAATTTCTTTTTGCTAAGTGGTGATGTCTAATGTGACAGATTTTGGGTTTCCATCTGCTTTGAAAATAAATATCAGTTACTTATTTGTTTTCCCATGGCTTAGACTACACTAGTATATGCAGTTTTTGTGTGTAATTGACTAAGCCATCATTAGGATCCCTGAGTTATTTTTGGATTTTGGATATTGTTAATCCTGTAACAAATGTTGCTTGGCCTTTAAGCCATATTCAGTGTCAAACAAAGTGCAGTATTCTGCCAATCATACGTAGTCTTCTCATACTCACTGAAAGATGTAGAGTGATTATAGGTCAGTATAACCACCACCCGAAACAGTAATACTGACAAGGATTCAATGCTTAGCTGATTGGTTTTGTGCAGATGGTATGTGCATGTGCAGACACATGTTATTGTTGGACAAAAAATCACTAGATGAAGACAGATGTGTAGTTCATATAGTGCCCACATAGCATTGCCAGCTATTTTTAAGTGATGTTATCATCTAAAAAATGAATCATACATAGTCATTGGCAGTGTTAGAACAATTTCTTGGCCACCTTATGTTACAACCTTACCCTGTAGGATAACTTTCTTGAGTTTATTTTCCTTTCTGCTGTTTCCTTAACTTCCTTCGTAGAAATGGCCAGCACAGATTCACTTGCAGATTCAGCACTGTAGATTCACTTGCCTAGAAAGGATTTCTCTTAAAACTGTGAGTTTTGGAGTTTATTCTGAAATAAACTCAATTCTACTACAACACCTGAAAGATTGCTTTTACAGCTAATTAAATTAGTTCTTTTCTGTTAGTGTGTCGGTAGCAAATAAATACTCATATGTGATGCTTGTGGTATTTTCCCACTTGTGGAAAAACTGCTTTTCATATATCGAGGTAGATTAGCAGTTGGGAAGGATCACCTTCAAAAGGTAATGTTGAAAGTTGGTAAGTCCTGACAAGCAGGATAGCATTTGATACTTGCAGACACAAATATATTTGCATTGCCTTAGAGAGTGGGAGATAATGTGCCAAATACAGTTTTGGATATTATGTGTCACTAGGGTAGGTAGGGCACATTAATAACAGGTGTAGCTGCAGATGTGTGCTAAGCTGCTGAAGTCTTGTGTTTTAAAGAATTAGTTTTTTAATATTCTTAATATATCTGGGTGGTGTAAGATAATGTCTTGTCAAGTGTGAAACCTATCACCATTCAGACAAGCTATGTGAATATACCTAGGAGAGAATGTAATTTCAAGGAGACCCGCCAAAGCAGTGTTTGTAATGTGAAAGGAAAAAGGGGGCTGAAGAAACAGTTGCTGGAACTTAAAATAAACAAAAGTCTCAAACCCTTACTCTCCCCCTCCACCCCAAACACATGTTTTCAATTCTCTGAAAATTCAAGTGAATTTTAGGGGGAAAAAAATATGACTCTGGCTCTGTGTTTGAATGTTAAGGCCAGTCTGTCATCTGTGAGATTATGGAAGACATTGCATTGCCACAGCTCGTGACACAGGCTGATGGGCCTCCTGAAATGCTGTAAATTGCTCTATTTGATGTACTTGCTTGGGCTTAAAGGAAACCTCTCTTCTTTGCATTTATGAAAAAAAGACAACATGTAAATCTCCATCTGATCATCACTGAGGTAAAATCAGTTTACTTCCATGGAAGTAGGACTGGTGAAATTGCTTGTCTTGAACTTGCAAAAGATGTAATTTGAAGGAGGTTTTTGTTCTCATACTACCAAATATATTGCGTATCCACTGCCACTCTTTGGAGGATTTTTGCTAGCTTTGCCTGAGAGAATCTAATTTAATTTTTTCATATGCATACATTGTATGGCTTTGTTAATTACTGGCTGGTTTTGTTTTCTCCTCTGACTGTTTAACGACCCAGCAAATGAGGGAATTGACTGTGGGATTGGCACAATGAATCACGCTGATAAACACTAACAAAATGGATAGTGAAATACATAATTCATCCTGATTACTTGCAGAGAGAAGCTTTGAGTTTCAAATAGTGTTTAAAATGGATCACAAGGCTTCTAGGTAGAACATTAATTTACATTTTATTTCACAATCCACAAAGCTTAATAGTGTTTGCTGGTGTTTTTTATTCAGATTGCTACATTTAGTGTGATATGAAAAGGGATCTCTAGTTTCCCCTGCATTCCTTGGTCCTGGATCTGTATTGTTGGGAGTTTTTCACTTGCCTATCCACCAGCATTTAAGATCTGCTGCAAGAGAAAGATCTTGTACAGTGTCTGGGGAAACAAGCACAATGGAACAGGCCACAGTTGTGAATAAAATGTTTGCAACACTTAAGAGAATACTACATCACCAATTGCCTTCTAAACTTGCACTGCCTGCCCCTATCTTCAGCTCCTGCAGACGTTGGAATTGTCTAAGCAGGAAGGGCAAATAGGGTTTTCCAAAATAGTTGTGGCCACTTTAGTTATAAGGGGAGGGAATGGCATCACCACTTGTCATAGTGTGCAAAAGCTGGATCTCACAGAATTTTGAAACGCATGTGCCTTGGTGATTTCTTCTTTTCATAGAGTCAGAGAATAATTCGGGCTGGAAAGGACATCGGCAGGTCTCTAGTCCAACCTCCTGCTCAAAGCAGGGTCAGACCAGGTTGCTCAGGGCATTATCCCGTCAGGTCTTGAAGACTTCCAGTGCTGGAGACTGCATAGCTGTTCAGGGCAGCCTGTTGCAAAGCCTAGCCATCCCTCATGGTGAAGATTTTCCTTGTATCCAACATGAACCTCCCTTGTTTAAATTTTGGTTTGTTGTCTTTCATCCCTCTACCATGGTCTGTTTTGTTTCATCTTCCTGGCACTCACTGTTGTAAGAACCTAGCTGCATCTTCTCAATAACCTCCTTGTATGTATTGAGGGGCAGCTCAGAAGTCCCCCATGCATTCATTTCTCCAGGCTGAACAAGTCCAGTTCCCTCAGCCTCTCCTCATAAGGTAT